TAATTTTAGACACACAATAAATACAGAATTGACAGGTGAATGTTAAAAAGTGAAAGGCACCAAAATATTATTGGAGTTACAGATGGGAATATGAATCATAAGTGCAGATCTGTCCTACTCCTATGATTGTATATTTTATTTCTATAGCTGACACCTCCTGAATAAATCCGACATCACTAGTGTGCAGTTACAAACTCTAAACATCTGATGTGTTTCACTAACTGTTTACAGGTTGCTATGGCATTGCTATCACATTATTGACTATAGAGAAAATACTTGAGCTGCCATATATATTACATGTGGTTTCTTGACACTGCACATGGAAATACAAACTTTCTGATATAGGCCGTGAATGTTTATGTAGTAGTAAACAAATAGAACTAGGGATTAATGATAGTTTGAAAAAAAAAATCTTTCCATGTTATTTTGTGGACTAACATAAGAATTTTTTATTTATTCAGTTGAATAATGGTAGGAAAACTAATCCCTAATCTATCAATTATCATATATACAAAATGCATTTAGGAAAAATAACTAATTTACTACTTAGTATTAAAAATTGAATATTGATATATTTGCTTCTGAAAGTATAATGTATGTAAGATTCCTATAAAAAGATGTGCATTCAGAGCAGTTGATGAAGGGACCCTATGAATTTAGAAATACAAACAGAAAGCTTTTTTACTGTGCAAAATACAAAGTAATGATCCTAAGAATAGCAGTTGTGTGGAAGACAAAAAGTTGCATATGAAATTCCATGCTTTTTTGCTATAGTATGAGAATTTTCCCTCAGTCAAAATGGGTTATACTTCAGGGTTAATAAAATAAACCTTTTGTCAACAGAGAAGGAGCTTAAAAGCTTTTTTGGGAACTTAGGTCGGTTTGTAAAGATAAGGCAGTAGTATATAACAACTTGTAGACCTGTGCTGGAGATGGATCTGCTTGGCTCCATAGGGCCAGGTGCTGGAATTATATCTTATTCCTCAGTCACCTGCTTCACCAGCAAGTCATATCCCAACTGGTTTTTTTGCTCTGTCCACGTCTGAGTTGACTGGTGGCTCATGTTCCTTACTCCAGCTTGTTTAGCCTTAGGATTTGAAAGCCCATACTTCCTAAGTAACAAATAAATGTTAATTTTTCATTGCTACCATGGATTTAAACACCTAGAAATTACATGTGTATGTTGTTCCAAAGGTAATTATGGTGATAGAATTCAGTTTGTTCAAAAGGTGTAATCAGTCATTGAGTAAAAACTTTTAATTCGATTAACCGGTTCAGCTAACACAGAGAACTTTGTTTCAGCGTCTTGCATAATATGACACTTGTCTTGCAGGGTGTTATTTATAATAGAAGGGACATTCTAGCAGGTCAAGAAGAGATGGTAAAGTAAATTATAAGGTGCACCTGCATGTCCTGTTAATTGCAATGAACCTTTAAATTCCTTTACTGCATGTTTTTCCTGATTAGAATAAAGTAGATCTATGGATTTTTTTTTTCTGAACTCTGAAACCCTTCTGTGCAAGCACACGCACAGAATGACACACACACATATATTATATATGTATATATATAAAATAGATAACAGATAATATATAGATAATGTATAGGTAATATATAGATAATATATAATAGATGACAATATAGAATAGATATATAGATATAGATATGCATAAAACATCTCTGAAAGAATTCCTGGAAAGTCTTAGGTTAAAAAACATCCTACTGATCAGTATTTAAATTAGTCATCAAAGTAAAAGATTCTTTCCTTCATGAATAGGAAAACTTTTAATGTTTTAAGACTTGCAGCTCAATTCATAAGGGTGATAAAACTGACAGAATACTTAAGATGAAAAAGGAATCTTGCCAATTGCTATCTCTTCTAGGAGACAAGAAATCTTTTTGATTTCTCATTTAAAATACTATGCAGCTCAATAATTTTGCTCTCGGGTGTATTGAGTTGAGTGCTATGCCTTTTCTGTGCCAGAATTAACGTATTTAAACTTGGATCTTTCTCAGGTTTGTCTTCAGGGTACCATCACATAATACCTCCACTGAGCTATGCACTTCACCAATGAGTAGAAGTGAGAGGAAACCAGAAAAATGAAAGCTATTGCTGAGGGCTTGGGTTCTGGAGTACCTGGTCAGGTTGAGAGACAGAGGTTTTATTATGTGGTTACAGTATAACACTCGAAGCCTGATACCCAGATTTCCATAACTAGAGCAGGGAGGAATACTGCTTCAGAAACATTTGCTTCTGCTTTCAGGACTGCAGGAAGTTAGCTTTTCTCCATTTTTATAGTTGCAGTGCTATGGATCTCAGCATAGATTAACTTCTGGCTCATTTTCTGAGAAGCAAATGTTTTCATTAGTTGGTTTTAGATGACGTTTTTTGGCTTGGGAAGAGCATATGACCTCTCAGGTCATGAACATGAACACTTCTCAATGAAGAACAGTGCAATAAATGTGATGCTGTAAAGTTGGTTCTTTTTTGTATGACCTATGCAACCAAATAGTGATCTGTGCATATTGGAAAGGTCCAGAATTTCTGTCTGCATAACAGTACTCCATGAAAGGTCCAGAGTTGTAATAAACAGATATATTAGTACAATAAATATTCCTATATCTAGGAGCATCGGCATTTTTTGTTGATATCAGTCACATTTCAAGAAATTCTGGGCAAAAGGCTGTTCATGAAAATATTCATGCATTATTCCATTAGAAAATCTAAGACAAAACCAAGAAAGCAGGGTGGTTTATTCTTTTGCTGTTTATGGTGTTCATTTTCTAACGTATTTGCATAAATGGGCATATGTCTGTGGATATGGGTATAGCCATAATATATATAAAGGGTAAATAGTTTTGAAGAATTTTATTGTTTTCACAGTAAATATAATTTCTTACTTTTCCCTCCAAAGAACAATTTGCAACCATTAGCTTATATTTGCCTAATCTGTATTCAGATACTCCAGAGTAACTTGTTTCTGATCTTAAAAAAACTAAAAACCAATAAAACAGTGTTGGGCTTCTAGATCTAGTAAACATTAAGATATACTATTTTAAGAACAAAACCAAATAAATCTTCTGATTTACAATCCACTCTAGATATAAACCAGGAACTTGGTCTAGAACTATATTGAGATCCTGTTCAGAGCAGCACAAATTTGCCAATTATTTCAGTTATATATAAATTACAATCAGCATTTTCATACTCTAAGTGTAGCTATGAATACTGACTTTTATGTGTTGAAAATAAACTTTGGTTTTGGTAAAGGAAGCTGAGGGGAGATCTTATCACTCTCTGCAACTCCCTGAAATAAGGTTGTTGTGAGGTGAGGGCTGGTCCCTTCCCCTCAGAGATAGACAACAGAGCATGACATCAAGTTGGGCCAAGAAGGGTTTAGGTCAGGTATTGTCCCAACCCACTCCTGAAGGCAGAGTAACTGAGGTTCTTGTTATTAATAGATCCCTTTGGGCAGATTAGAGTGAAACAACACCACTCAATGACCAATCTGTGTACACATGGCAAGCTTATTTTAGAAAAATTTGATTGCAGTGGGAAGGTGGTTTGCAGCCATTTTGGTTATTATCTATAGAAATGAAGCAATATAGAAGTGTAAAGATATCACTTAAGAAAATATATAAAGAAAAGAAAGAAAAAGAAAGGATAAGTGTAGATAGTGAAGAGGAAAGAAAGAAATGCCCATCAGTGCATCAGGCAATTAGATTTTGATTGCAATTTTGATGCCCATTGGTCAAAGTGATGATCTCAGTCTTGATCCATTGGGGGTGAAGGAAGCCTGCACAACATAAAGTTCAATGTGTTCAGGTGGGAATGCCCAGGTACCTCCCCTGGGAAAGGGGCAGTTAAACACTCTCTGCTGCAACACTGGGTGTCATGCACAGTCCTCTGGTGGAAGTCTCCAGAAATGAGTCCGACTGCAGTTTGGGTATTTTTGATTGTTTATGGCACCTTCTACAGCAGGACAGCTGCTTGTCATACCAGTGTAGTTGGGCCAGTTATGCATCATCAGAAGGAATTAATATCTTCAGACCTTTGTGTGAGTGTGAATGTCCTGATAGTACACAAACAAGTTGTGTACAGGAGGAAATCAGCATAATAAAAATATTCCACCTTGCAGGATCTGCTCTTCATTGTTTAATTTTGATAAGTATTTAATCTTTCATCTTTCCATACAGGTAATTCTCAGTGTGTGAATAATTTTGGTGTTGAATTACAAGTATTTTTATACAAATCATAATTTTTTCTCCTTTAGAAGGGCCCACTCCAAATGTTAATCCCAAGCATTCACATTCTACCGATGCTCTTCCCAGCTGCTCTTGAAATTTTTTTTGCCTGCATCTCTTGATAACTCTAAGAAGCTTTTGCACAAAAGTTCACATCTCAGTATATTTATAGAGTCATAGTGAAAATGAACAGATGAGTTGGAGATGGAGATGAAGAGCAGATATCTAAAGTTAGGTGTTGTGAATCCCATCTTATTCCTACTTATTGACAGTGAACCTTGCCTACTTTTTGTGAATCTTGACACCAAAGTACATGGCACACTTACTGAAATATCTTGTTTAATGTCCAAATGAGTCTGTGTCAGGTTTAACAGATTCAGTTTGGTTAACAGTCCATCCTAGAATTTTTAGTTGTTGACACTGGGCTTCCCTGTCATTACTTCAAACAAAATTTCAGTCTGAATAATTAGCTTCTTTCTTTCTGGTGTACTTTGCCACCTGCCATATGAAATTTGGAAGCTGAATTTAGTGGTGTTGCAAATTATGCCTTGATATTTTCTTTTAAAATACATTTAATGCCATGTTAAAAGAGCATTGGTGTTTGTCTGATATTTTTGATATGAAGAAATCTGTGGCCCACTTATAAAAATAATTAGTATAAATTCTAAGTAGTTATCTATCATCCTTCAGTATGGATAAGTACTTCAATATAAAAATAAATGTATAAAAACATTAATTTCACATTTTCATTGCAGGATAGAGGAAGAAAAGAATATTTTATCAGAATTTCAAGACGATTTGAACAAGTTGATTTTATGGTTAGAGGAAACAGAGAACGTTATTTGTATTCCCCTTGAAAAAGGGAATGAAGACCAGTTGAGAGACTGCCTGAGCAAAGTAAAGGTATTGTAAGGTCTATTCTTAATATTTTCTTACTTTACCAATTCTACACTGAAGGAAATTAAGAGCTATTTTCCAAAATGGTTTCTGACATCAAACACAGCATCCCTATAACTTTTTAGACAAATCAAAGCTGGGAATTTCAAAACCCAGGTACAAATATATATTGATCATAAGACTAATGGAAAATCTACTGAAAGAAAAATATCCCAAAACTAGGAAATTAATCGTTATCTTTTTCATCCTCATTTCTTAACTCAGAATATGACTGGTTTATATGTATAGCATTTCTCTATTGATGTCTTGTTAACATTTTACAGCTTCTCACTTATTAAATGGTATTCAGTATTTCACAAGAGGATCCAGAACTGCATGCATAATTATAAATGTCAACTCATTAAAATATCACTGCAGCATTTTCTAGACTAAACATCTAGGTGACTTATTTTTTAGAATACTTAAAAAAATCCAATCAGAATATTAAATATTTGTTTTTAAGGGCTGGAATATTTTCACCGATATGTTAGAGTTTGATAATGCTGATAAAAATATTCAACAGAAGTTTTTCTGTTTAGTCTTTTGAAATGTGTTCAGTAGAATAACTATTTTTAATTACTTATATAATAATAAATTGAACTGTAATTGGAAAATGCATATTACTTATAGAATATATGCCTAAAGGTTTTTCTATCCTCTCTTGCGGTTAGGCACCTAGTAATCCTTTTTGTAAATCCAAGTTTAACAAATTCAACTAGTGATGAATAGAGCATTAAAGAATCTGAAGAAAACTTTTCAGTTTGTTCTATCCTTCTCACAACAAAGTTAAAGAAAAAAACAATCCAGAGGATTATTTAGTAAAAATCTACCTTCAAGTTTCTTTTTAAGTAAACATAGGATAAATATAGTTTCATGTCATGGAGACTCAACCATGTGGTGAGGTTGTCCTTCTGTTTAGCAGAAGATGCCATTGAGTTGATAAGGGAATTTGTAAGTCTCTGTTGTTGAGGATATCAGGTCCAAGGCAAATAAATTCTTTTAAGGGATGTTAGATGCATCTTACAGTTTGCAGAAGTGATTAAGGCTTTAAAAACGAAATATATTGTTCAGAACCAGGAAGGGTCCACTCTTCACATACACAAATATTTGCTATATAATATTCCTAAGGGATATATAGTACAAATATAAGGTGTTAGCATCTCTTATTTGTATCTTGTTTTTACAGTCCATCTTCTTTTGGTGCTGCACAAAAGGGAATACATCCCAATGGAGCAAATATTAATGCATTACCTTGCAGCATGGCTCATTTTATACCTACCTGCCTTTGTTAATAATCAAGAACAAACAAGGAAAACCCCAGAACAGTAAAAACCTTGAAGTGAGATTAACCTAACTTGATAAATTAAGTTACTCCGACAATATAAGTTTTCAGTAATGACATATGTGTTTGAGAACTGGTACATTTTGATCATTTTGATGCTGCCTTGCTTTTCCTTTTGGCTTTCCTTTTTTTTTTATTTTTTATTATTTTCTCTTTTTTTAGTTGGACATACATGACCATTCTTAATTAAGCCATTAAACTGGAGTGGAGGGCTTTTCACCACATGCCATCTGGGTGGCAGTTCACAGACTGAAACATACTAAAACATTTCTCCACAGTTCTTGCTCCATAGCATATTACAATATTATTAAAATTGATATACGTATTGAGTATCCAGGTCTGGAATTTATAATCTAATAGTGATTGATATCCTGAGAAACCCTGTATTATGTCACATAGAACTCTCTTTAGACTTCATTGACTAATACAGTCTCTTTGGGTTCTTTTTTTTTTTTTTCAGCCTTCTACATTCACAAAGCGACAGTTATTTTGTCTTGAATTGAGTTTATTCCTTTGGCTGATACACAAATCAATAAGGGTCAAGAAAAGAGAGCTGAAAATCCTACCACAGTTCATCTTAACTGCTGTATTTGTCTGTTCCAGTTAAGAGTTGGAGAACTGCCGCCCCACAAGGGAATACTGAAACGATTAAATGAAACTGGAGGAATAGCACTTGGAAGTGCATCACTGAACCCAGACAAAAAACATAAGCTGGAGAGTACACTGAAGGAGGCTAACCATCGTTTGTTAAAGGTTAGACATATTACTGATATAACTGTGATATAAAATTTTAATCTGCAGTGAATATTTACATTATATATTTTCTGGTATGTATAATTTTTCACTGTATGAAGAGATGTTTGTGTGCATAATGAACCTGAGGAAGAAAACTGGATACAATACACTGCTGTGAGAAACAGTGATAGCAAGACCATTACTGACTAGAGTGATGATGTTGCACTCAAACATAGTCACTAAATTACAGTTCTTCTACTTAAGGGTGGAATTCACAGCATCATTTTTGTAGCCTGTTGCTTTTGCTGAAACAGCAAATATTTCAGGCTTTGTGACTCAGGTGTGTGAGAGGCAGATATTTGATTTTCTTTATGGAAATGATTCCCAAATCTCTTCTGTTTCCAATCCCAAGGTGAACACTGTAACCACTGTTTCACCTTCCACCACACTTCTACCAACCTTAAGCATTCACTTCTGTTTTTTGTGTAGCAAAGTAACAAATATTTTGCTTTCTGGGATCTCCATACTGATAGAAAGAAGTAAAGGGGGACTTTGTTCTGTTTTATTGTGGAAATAGCATATTTTTGTGTTGAAAAATGGTGAAAATGAGTAGCAAATCTGGTAAAGAAAGGTAGATAATTTGTTTTCTTAGTAGAAATGATAGAAAGCATTGTCCAGAGAACTACTGCCCAAGGTATGGATTAGCCTGCTTGGAAATAATCAAGGTAGAATCAGTTGAAGAATTTCTGTTGAGACTGATTTCAAAGTCAGTCAGGGGCATTAATCTGTGGTATCTGTTAAAGTTACCAGGATTCTGGGGCAAAAAGGAATATTTCATTGTGTTTAGTTCTATGGCGGGGGGGGGGGGGGGGGGGGGTGGGGAGTGAGAAAATAATCTTCTATTACCTTGCTGGAAAGAAGGTCTTCTGGTCAAGAATACGTCCTGGGTTCTCTGTTACCATTTCCATGAATACAGTTGAATTTCAAGAACAGATCTGAGAAATAAAAAAGAATTTGATATGGTAACTCCTACTAGTTTCTTCCTAATAGAAACAGTCTGGCAAAGTTCAGAAAATCAGCTAATGACTCAGGCAAAAGTGGATAATAAATATTGATCACATCCACAATCTCCAGATTGGACACATAAATCATTATATCAATGGTTGGACAGAAGTATCTTTTTCTCTATAAATGGGCTTCTGAAATCAATGTATATAGAAGAATTCAGAACACTTCAAGATCAAAACAATGTTATCTACTGGCTGAAGGAAGCACATACATAGCTAAATTCAGGGGCTGTGTTAATACCTAAGCTACGATACTAAAAAGACAGCATTAGTTTTCAGGAGAAACTAATTAACTTTTAGTCAGATCACATATATATATATTTTAAGAAAATTTGTCACTGAAGGTAGCATTTTATGGATTAGTCATATACCTAAAAACTTGGAATTTTCATTTTCTGCTGGCTGATGCAAAAATATTTCAGGTCGCCTGTCACAGAGCAACCATGAATGTTGTTGAAAGCACTTAGGTTTGGGTGGAATATGTGAGACAAAAACTACTGTTTAGTGAATCATTACAATTTACTGATTTTTTGTAATTTTATGTCTCCTAGATCTAATGTGTCTGGCAAGATAATTATTCTTGGAATTTCTTACTTGAAAAATTTCATTTACTACTAAAAAAACATAAACCAAGGAAAGAAATCTTCCTTTGGAGATTACTTACCACGTGATTTTTTATCTCTGTTGTCTACCCATGGAGGTGTATAAAACTGAGTTCTCATTTTCCCTTGGTCTCTGAAGAGAATCTGCAAAATGCAGTGGTTTGGTTTTCTTGTGCTTTTTTTGTCTATTTTTTTTTTAAGAACAGAAATTGAATTTGAAAATTACAAAACCAATCGAATTTGAAAATTACAAAACCGCATGCATACATCTTCCCTGAAGGTGCTCTCTTTCTCAGGTTTTCTGTTTTCTCTGTGATCTTGGCAGATGTAGAAAACAAAGCAAAACAAAACAAAATATTAGACACTTGTTTTGGGGTTCAGTAAGATTCTCCCAAGGACACTGAAGCAAAAAATAATTACTTTTTAATTTTCGTATGTTTTACTGTTACTCATTATTTGTTTAGGAAACCTCAATTATTTGTTTCACTTTCTGCCCTGAAAATTTGGGGCCTGAATTAAAACTAGAAGTCATGGAAAGAAACTCTGCGAGCCTGACAGTGGAACTTAATGTTCTATTTGTTCAGCTGTAGATATGGATATGTAAGCACTGGAAAAACCCCAGAGATATTTACTCTGAGCCAAAGCTCACAGGATGGGCACTTTTATATCAGGCAAACTTCTTAGGTCACCTGAGGGGGATTCTGTAGTCAGTGGTTTTGATGAGGATATATTTTTTGTGTTCCTCAAAGCACAGTAGACAAACATCATCATACAGAGATTTCTCTGGGGCTTTTCTGTCTCTCCACCTCCCCTTAAGAGCTTATTTTACACTTTAATCCTTTGTTTCAAATTGTAAGTTTTGTTTTCTGGCATCTCTATTAGAAATGAACATGCAACAATCTACTGTTTATTTTGCAGGATGATACTATTTTCAAGATATGAAACATACATGACAGATAAATAATAGGTCCTTATCAGGTATACACTAGAGTAATTCTGCTTGCTTCAGAGAAGCTGGGAAAATTTACACTAGGTGAGGATGTGGCCAAATATCTCCTAAAGTTATCACAAATTTTTGTTTTGCCTTGATCTGCCAAGCAGAGGAATAGGGGACAACACCTGTGAGTCTTAACCTTCAAGGTGACATATTTGAAATAAGTCATGTTCAAACCTTTTTTACAGTCACAGAAACTGTTGCCCTACAGCAATAGAAATATCCTAGAAAAGAAATTTAGTGCGAAGGGAATTGCGGGCACATAAAAGTATCTTTTTAGCTTTTAATTCAGAATTGTCTTTGCTTTTGGGTGTTTATATCACGTGCTGATGACCTTGAGAGTAGATATGTGAAGAGTTTTTCTTCCTTTGGATAATAATGATTTTGACACCACATTTCTTTATAGAACTTTATTAAATAGTGATTCCAATTGGCTGTTACCTAATTCAGTATAGTTTAGGCAGAGAATGAAGATTAAAGCCCACATTTGAAAGGCTAGAATTTTTAATTCTATCCTCGTTTTACTTATTGTACCCTCTCCAAAGCCAGTATTTCTTGTAAAAATGAAAATAGCACTATCTTAGTGAAGTCTTAATATTATGAAAAATGAAGTGGTTTATGACCATTTTTATGCCTTCACATCAAGAATTTTTCATTTATTTTCAAAGCTTAAAGTATCTTGTGCTGTGATAGCCAAGTAAGGTAACCACCTAGTGCTTCAAAGCACACAAAAGGGTACTCAGCACTGGAGTTTGTGATGAATTCAGTTCTTGTCATATACCACCTGCCATGGCATGTAACAGATCTGTAATGGGTTTCTTACCTTTTACTGTGCAGTAAATGGATTGATAGATTAGGTCTGAGACCAGTGAACCATGGAATCAGAGGTTTGCTGGAAGGAGTTTATTACTCTTTAATATTATTCTTGGTCTGCTGTCAGCCAAGAGCGATGAGCTAAATTATCTGAAAGTAAGCTGGATGCCAAAATCAGCATTCTCCTCATTTATCCACCTTAGTCTTCACAACATCTACTGTATGTATTATGAAGGTTATTATAAGTGCCTGATGGAGACATTTTGTTTTGCTGCCTTTTAATTTGTCTACTAGTATTAGTTCTAATTACTAGACACTGAAGAGACTATTTCACTGTTTATTGCCACAGCAAATCAATTTGTTGTGCTATGTGGACAAGATAAAAATTAGAGTGGAGTGACATGGCTATAATTTGTGAACATTTTCTGTACCACCAGAACAGGCGTAGGTTGTCTTAGCTTGGTTGATCAAGTGTAGAGAAAAACAGATGGGCCCAAAAGTGCAGAAACACAAAGTCGTAACAAGGTTATAGTTCACGTATTATAACTTGCCTTGAGTAGAAATTATTCATAGATTACCTACAATGACATAAAATTTCCAGCATGTCAATGCAACTTAATTCGAGCTCACAGTTGGAACTACTGCAATTGCTGCTGTTGTTATTTGTGGTATGGAGGGGAAAATTTGTTGGAAAATGAATGCAGTTTGATTTCTGTTCTTTCAATTTGAAATAAGAATAGTATAACTGGCCTTTTAGGGATCAGAAGGTTGACATTTTCCTGAATTTACTTTCATTTAATGAGTGACCTAATTCCATTAAATATAATAAAGTCTTTTGTTATGCTGAATTTCCTCTGACAGCTTGTCATAGATGGCTAATTAAGTGTAGGCCACATTCATGTTATCATCAGCCATATTCAAAAGTGGCCTCATGTGTAGCAAAAACAAATTTGATATAAATGTTTTTTGGACAAACATGAGAGTGTCACAAGCCCTAAGAAACAAGTATGTATATGCTTAATTTTTTTTTTTAATTTGCATATTGCTAGCAGCCAGTATGAATTAAAAATTTAAAAGCTAAGCAAAGAAAAATATGAAATACAGTCAAGTCATGCAGGGGCAAAAAGTCTGTATTAGCCATTGAAGCCATGAAAGCATGATTGAATACATGTATGTGTGTATATACACAATATATATCAAATTATCTTGCCAACCATCTTAAAATTCCTTATTATTCTTGTTTGCCATACAAATCCAGAATATAATAATCATATACTTAAGAAGTTATGCCAAGAATTTGAATGTAAGAAGTACTAATTTTCAAGACATATGTGCTGACATATGAGTTTACATTGAGTTAATATTGATGCCAAATTACTAGATATCAAGTACTTCAGGCAAATCATTACACATTTTTCTACTACAAAGTTCTGTGTATCCGAGAGAGATTTCACTTGTAATGGGCAATGCTCAGATACTACTGTGCACCAATCAATTGCAACGACTTGGGCTTTCTAAAACTTCAGTTCCAAGACATACACT